TATATATATATATATATATATATATATATATATATATATATATATATATATACACACACACATTATCTTTTGGGTAACGCTATAGTCAAAAGATTCAATACCCATTCGGCATCTTCTTCAACAATAAGACAAAAAAAAAATTCTGCAAATGAGTTTTCAGAAAAGATGTATTCATATTTGGGTTATGTCTATAAAACAATCTAAAATAAGTCTCTCATATAAATAATCTGTTAGAGGCTAATTTTAGGTCTCTATTATTCATTTTAAGTTTTGGTGCCCATATAGATCTTCCTACTGGAGACAGTCTTAGAGAGCATGGTGAATATTACTTGATAATAACGATCCTGACCCCAAATATTTGATTTCCATTAGTTTTTTTTTTCTCATGCAAGCAGTGAGCACAATTGCATCCTCAACTGCCATATTCCGTGATTAGCACCATAGCAAGTTGCCAGAATTTGACAGGTTGCCATTATGATTTTTCTTAGCATAGCTCCATAGGATGTACTACCTCCGTCTCCGTCTCCAAAATAATGTGTCACATTTCAGTACCTTAAGTTTAATCAATTATAAATAAAAAAAGTATTCATGTTTATGATACCAAATAAATATCATTAGATTAATTACAAGATGTATTTTTATAATAAATTAATTTAAAGATATAACTGTGAATGATCAAACATGAATCATTTTTCGTAGCACGTAACTCATACTTATATTCTTTTCCGGATGGATGTAGTAGTTCTTTTTTATGACATAGGATGTAGCTTTTATATATAGCGATCAAATTGGTAAAAGTTTTAAAGCTAAAGGACATGTATAGTCTTTTTTTTAAAAAAATCCCTTAGGAGTTTTGTAAATTGCGATCCATCACCTAAACAATAAATGCCCTGTTCGCTTAGCTGATAAAAAGGCTGAAAGTACTGTTGGCTGATTTGGTGTGAGAGAAAAATACTATTCATTGACTTAAAAAGTACGACTTTTAAGCTAAACAAACAGGGCGAAAACCCTCCCTACAACCTAGCGGTAGCAGTTTAATCTTTGCCCCCATCTACAACCTCTATTCCACCTCCTTTCGTACCCCTCTTCGTGCCATTCTCCCAGTGCTCCTGCCACGTAGGCACCGCCGCGCCGGGTAGGTCCTGGCCTAGTTCCATATGACATGGTAAACATCTCTTTATGCTCACTGGTTTTTTTTCCGAGGGAATGCTCACTGTATTTCTGTGACATGGTAAACAGCTATGGTAAACATCTCTTTATGCTCACCTGTTTTTTGAGTGATGGCTGCACTAGTATATGCGTTTGTGGTGTAAAGTGGATGGTGGGTATTGTTGGTGATTAAAGTTGGAGGGCATGCGATGCCATATCATATTCATATGGCACTATGCCATAATCCCCTATGTCATCACTCTTTTTCTTTTTCTTTTTTCTTTTTTTCTTTTTTTTTTTGCGCTCAAGGAGATTCATTCATCAGGGGGAGCAGGATTACAATATGAGGACAACAGGTCCAGCACATAAGCTGGGGCATAAGTCCACCACCCAGCTCGTGTGTCGCCTGTGACCTGTTTAGCTAATACATGTGCTACCTTATTACAATCTCTAGAAACAAAAGAAAGCTTAAAATCATGAAAGAGTAAGCTCAGCTCCCGGATCTCCTGTAGGATTGTTGAGATAGTCGATCTCTGGTTAGTCCCTGCCTGCCATAGCTGCACCATTTGTTGGCAGTCAGTTTCTAGCCAAATCTTTCGGACTCCTGACTGAACCGATAAGGCCAGCCCATCCCGACAAGCGATGGCTTCCATGGTGAGGGCGTCGAGGCAATGATCATACCACTTGGCGCTGCCCCTGATGAACGCCCCAGCACCATCACGCAGTACCGCACCTGTAGCACCTTGCCCTGTTTGTTCATAGAAGGCGCCATCCGTGTTGCATTTGATCCAGCCCAGAGGTGGTCGTTCCCACCTAGGTACTGCTCTCGGCTCTGTCACTGACGACTGAGAAGGGTCGCCTGTCTTAGATCAAAAGCCAAGTCCGCCGCCCATTGTACAGCCACTCGAATCGGCGGCAACATCTCCCCATGTCTTCGTCTATTTCGCTGCATCCAGAGCGCGTTCCTGCCAATGATGATCGTTGTCTGATCTCGCTCCGAGCCCGCCCTTCCTTCTACCAGAACCTGCGCCCCAAGTCTCCTGATGCAGGGTTGGAAGCTTGACGCCAGTGGCAATTTTCGTTTGCTCCCAGAACGCCTTGGCAATCGAACATTCCAACAAGACGTGTCTGATTGACTCTGTCTCTGCACCACACATCTCGCAATTCGCAATCGGTTCCACATGCTTACGGTGTAGAATTTGACGAGTCGGAAGAAACTCATGGACCACACGCCACCAGAATACCCTGATTTTTGGCAGCACCTTCAACTTCCATATTTTCCTCCATACTGAATTTTCTGAGACACTTGCCGCAGGCACCACATCATCCCTGATGCTTGCCATGTCTAGTAATCTGTAAGCAGACGTGACAAAGTAAACACCATGCCTCTCCGGTTCCCATGCCCAGACATCTCCATATTGGATCCGCGCCGGGGTACGCAAGATAGCAGCAGCATCTACCGGTATGAAGGACTGCTTGATAAAATCTTCATTCCACTGTCCATTTTCTGACAACAGCTCGGTCACCATTGACACCGGTTGTCCCTCCTCTGGCATGAGAGGTAAAGATGGCAATAGGGCCCCGATACCCGATACCCGACAGGTATTTGATCCATTAGGGGATGGGGATGGGATCATATATTTACCCGTGGGCATCTAAATGGACAAGAATCCATCCCCGACGGGTATAGCGGCTACGGGAACGTTCCTTGTTTATCCGTCCCCGTTACCCGTTGGGGAACCCGACTATTTGATTTGTCATGCGAGTATTATGCCCAAAGAAGCTCAACATAGATATTTTGGCCCAAATCTGAACAATCATATATATAGTTTGTGTGTTCTAGGAACCATAATTCAATTTTTCCTCATCATCTCCGCCAGCAGCACAAGCATGCCTGCCTCATGAGCGCTCGTGCCCCTCGCTTCCTTAGTTCGGTCTCTCTGCCACCTTTGCTCGTCCTCTTCGCAACCTCCTCCTTCTCCTCGGCATCTCCGAGACTCCGACACTTATACCCGGGTGAAGAAGAAACGTCTCCGATTGCAAAGCTGCGACCCCAAGTGTCCTTGTTTATCGGGTATGCAGTACCCGTCGGGTATCTGTTACCCGACCGATGCCCGACGGGTACGGGGATGGGCAAGAATCTATACCCGAGATAATTAACGGGGACATGATGAATTCTCCGTAGCGGGGAAGAGAACGTTCCGGCAATACCCGACGGGTACATCCCCGTTGCCATCTTTAATGAGAGGTCGACCCCCAAAATGATTCAGGAGCCACCGATCTCGCCAGATATGTGTTGAGGTTCCATTGCCAACTCTTTTGATCAGCCCTTGCGACAAAACCTGCCGGCCTGCAAGGATGGCTTAGTTCTTCTAAAGAACGGCAAGAGATTTACCGAACCATTTTAGGTGAAGAAAGAGTACTTGAAAAAAAAGTCACCTAACAAAAACAGAGGTAAAAGAAAAAGAAAACATAAAAATGGGGCTGTTGCCACCCCAACGAGTGAAGGACAAACTATTTAGTAAAAAAAATCCACACGTTTTGGAAAGGAAGAGAGTAAATACTAAATAGTATCACGGGGCGAAAATGTTTATGACATCCATCAATTAACGGATGAATAATCTAGTGAGTGAAAACTAGTTTCCAAGAATATAACATCAAGGAATAAATATGGATCAAGTTCCTAGTGAGTGAAAACTAGGTTCAAGAATATAAATCAAGGACTAATTTCAAGCTGGTTTCGAAAAACTCTTTTCGTTTTAAATTATAAGTTATTTTTAGTTTTTTAGGTACGTAGTAAACTCTGTGTCTAAATATAGCGTGTATCATACATAGAAAAACCAGAATGACTTGTAGTTTAAAACGAATGGAGTATGACACAAATACAAATGAATGACTCAACACTCTTAGAAGATCCTAGATAAATTAGTTATCATGACTCCCGCTGTCAGTATAGAACCCACCACCAAAGCTCTCATGCCCACCAATGAACATGTCACTACTTGGATGAGTAACCGCAGCTATTTGATTCAGACAGCCTATGCAACAGTCATATGGACAAAACCCAATTGTGCAGGTGCAGCACTGGTAAACATGGAGCTCGTTCTCAAGATTGGCATCCATTTCCACAGAAAAGAACAGCTCATCATCGGTTGGGGAATAAGCAGTAAAGCTGTAATACTGCAGGCTAATCCATATTCAAAGACGGTGCACTTCTCGGTGATCTCTCCACGCTGTCTAGAACTCTAGATATCTCTTGTTGATGCGCAGAGCCATTTAGACACTCTTATCTGCCGCTCTGTAAACCGCCAGCTGTGTGCCCTTCGGACACTCTTCTCTGCCGCTTTGTAAACCGCCAGCTGTGTGACCTCTTGGCTTGGTGCTTGAGGAAGAATTACTCTTTCCTTGACAATCAGTTGTCATCGCAACCTGCACCATTGATTGGCAATGAAGCAGCCAGCCACAATCGCACCACTGCCGGGAGAGGAATCGGAGTCCGGGTGGGATTGGGAGACTGATTTGCCTAGCAGGCATATTATTCTGATGATAGCTTTGCTGGTATTGAGATAATAAGATTCTCAGGCTGATTAGCATACAATACGCGATAGTTGAAGAAAGTAACCACGAGAAAAAGTGAAAAACCAAAGGAAAAGATTAAAAAACAGCAAAAGATTTAACAAACCATGGATGCATTGTAAGTTGGAGCAAAATCCCAAGAGGTGGTTCGATACATGACTAACAACACAATATTTCGCTGACAGATACTTTGACATGTCTATTAGGTACTACAGGTAGGAAAAAACAGACACTGGAACAGAATCTGGCCGCCAGCTTCATGAACTTGAAATGCTCTATTTCTTCTTGTCAGTGTGTGCACCAGCCGATCTGCAGATACCAACAGAAAATTCAGTTAATACTGATAGTTATGCAGCATAAAGGAGGATCTCTTCTATTAAGCCAACATGAAGATGCTAATACGAACAATGCTATGAAACAATTCAAACATATTATTAAGTGCCAACATAGAATCCATTTCTATAAGATACGATGGTCCAATGATAGTGTCCACTAAATAGACAAAAATATACAACTGACCAGATAGTAGAAAAACAAGACATGTATATATAAGCAGATCAGACAAGATTAGGATACTATAACACAATGCGCACAATCAATAAGCACTAGTCATCTATACACAAGCTCATTACCAGGTAATGCAAATGGCAGGATCAATATGCAGAACTTAAATTGATGTGAATTAATGAAATAACAATCGTTGGAGTAAGAGTAAATAATAATTATGCAACAAATTAGCAGAAGCAACTGACTAGACACATGCAAACCATCTGCAGGAAAAAAAAGACAGGCTACCAAGCAGTATTCTAGTTTTATCACAACAAAGTTTCACATTTACACACCTCATCTTCCTGAGGACACCCGCCATCTCCTCTCTCTTCTTCTTTGCCCTCTTGTGAGTTCCAAGCTTTCTCTTGGCGACCTTCAGAGCACGCTTGTCCTTGCCAACCTTCAGAAGCTCAGTGATACGCTTCTCATACGGAGCAAACCCAGCAACCTCTCTGATCAGGCCCCTGACCATGGACACCCTCTTCGTTGCTTTCTGCATACCACATGAACTTAGAATAGAGGACACAGTAAATCTATCACATAGAACAACACACTATACTTGTACTACCCATTTACAAGTGCAGACACTAAATCATAGGCTTTTAGAAGTTAAATAAATGAAAGCAAATATCTCAGTATTTGGTAGGACACATGGCAGCAAATTCAATATATGAGAAACAACAGGCAAACTTCACATTCACAAAAAAACTTTAGAAACAAATTTCTACTAAAACATGTAGATAAACATGTCTTACACTATCGTCAGCAATCAAACCTTCCATCTGCATAAAGTAAAGTGGAGCTCCTCAACTAGTATTGCAGATCCATCAAACTGTGTTTTGTCGAATTGGAAAAATGAACAAGGACAAGATTAAAAACACAACTAATCCTCAGATTCTTGCATACGAGTAGCAAGTATGATCCTAGTCACACACACATCCTAGACAACCCTATAAAGCGAAAGTTACAGAGCACAAACTATCAACTAGTAAGATCTCTGCATCCTAAACCCACAACATCCACACCTAATCGAAACAACACTACCACCCGCCAGATCAACATGATGACCCTAAAAAAGTTGAAAGTTCGCTTACCCCCTTGCGGTGGGACGGGCGCGGAGGCAGCTCGCGCTTGGTGACGACATGGCCCTTGTTGATGCCCACGAAGAGGCCCGACTTCGGCTGCGGCGGCGCCATGAGGACCAACCCTTTCCTGTGCGCGCACACAAACAAGCGGAGATGAGCGCGTACGCAAGGAGAGAGAGGCTAGGTTTCAGATCGGCGGCGGCGGAGGCGGCGCGGGGAGGGGGTACCTGTAGAAGTGAACCGGCTGCTACCGAGGGGAAACCCTAGCGGAGTGGAGCCTTTATATAGGCGACGCGGAGGTGGCTTCGCGGCCGGAGGATACTGGGCTGGGCTGAGATTGTTTCATTCTCCTTTCCGGGCCTTTTCTATTATCTGGCCCAGGTTTTCTTAAGAGGATTGTGATTAGTAAGTAAGTTGGGCTCTTGTGGGTCGTTATGGGTTCGTTCGTTAGAATTTTTGGAGTTTGCAGTATGGGGCTGACCGGCTGAGCTGGGTTATCTCTGCAGTTGTAAACTTTGTTGCATTACTTCAGCACTTACAATATTTCAGCGTAAACATCATCGTAGGCCAAATTTTATACGAAAATATTGTGAGAGAAAAACACTGTTCATTCTCTGAAAATTCTATTTGATTAGTCGTCATTCTGTAGTTTAACGTTTGCCTGGTTCACAGTAACTTCACAGGTTTTGTAAGCCACCTTTACAACCGACATGTGAACACTCGGGCCTTGCCTTCTCAATGATGAGCGGGACTTATTTGGATTGCGGTGGGCAGCCGGCGCCGGAAGGGGTGGCCACCGATATATATTCATATTTAGATTTACCCCTATATTTACCGTGTAATTCTCTGCCAAAAACCGCGTCCACATCACCCGAATTTCTTCCCGCCGTTTGATCCCGCATTGGATGGTCCAGATCACTTCAATAGGATTTTACCGGAAGCGGCTCCTCCTGATTCTCTTTACCTTTCTCGACTTCTCCTCAGCTTCTTTCTACGTTCCCTGGCTTCTGCTCCGAATCCGGTCAGCCAAATATATCAGCCAGATTTCGCTTCAGCTTCCACACACTTCTCCTCTCCCCCCCCCTCTCTCTCCTCTTCCCTCTCTCTCCCTCCCTCTTTCGATGCAAAAAAGCACGCAGGCGGAGCGACGGCGCCCTCAGCACGCGGCGCAGCGTCGCGTGTGCCCCCGCCGGTGGCCGCCGCCGTGGCTTACTCGGCGCTGCCTCCTCCAGACGTTCCACGTGCGGTACACGAAACCCTACCTCCTCCTCCTCCTCTCCTCCTCCTCCTCGCGTCGCGTCCTATCGGCCGGAACCGCGCAGCCTCCTCACCGCGTGAGGGGCTCACGGGACGCGACGGCACGTGTGGGCTATGCACGCTACCGTGTCCATGCCCCGGCGAGTGGCCGCCGCCGGCAACTCCTTCACGCGAGCAGAGCACGCACGCCGATGGCCGCCACGTCGTCCGCCCCTTATATGGCGCGCCTTCTCTCGCCATCCACGCTTTGTTCTTTGTGCTCATAAAACCCTAGTGCTCGGGTGGGCGCGGTGTGGTGGCCTTGCGTGATGGTCCATGCCAGGCGCCTCCCTGTGAAGCGTCGCGTTGGTGGTCGTCGTTGCCGCCGACTGTAACACCCTAAACAAATTACCAAATCATGTCATGAGCATCATGTTTATGTGATAATGTATGTGATGAATTGTGTAGATAACATTTTTATAACTTAAGATGATCAATAAAAATGTTAAATGAGAAGCTATTACACAACTCATGTATATAAAGTAGGGTTTAAAAGTATTTTTTATTGAACAAAAATACTATAGAATATATATGTGGCACTTAAATAAAGTTTGGAGTTTGAACTTTGTAGATGACAATGAAATACTTGCTGTGAAAAAATAACATTGCCAACTAACATTTCTAATAGCCTAAAAATGGAACTTGAAATCAAATTCAGTTCATGGACTTAAAAGAATTTAAGTATATATATACAACAAGACAATGCCATTTTAGCAATTTATTTTGTGAAATCAAGTTAAGAGATGGTGTCATGTTTTAGCTCGGGTTGGTAGCCTAATATGCTCTCTTGAGTATGGTGAAGATGGTTTAGGCTCAAGAGTAACCATTTAGTTGATATAGGTGCTTTAAATTTTGTGCGTGACATGTTCTTGGGTTGGTTGGCCGAGTGGACGCCTAGGGGTGCGACGTCGCCTCACTAGCTAGCCGCGCGCGCGGCTGGCCAAGGCCGCCTTTGGCTGGACCATGGCCTAGCTATGGCCTGACGCTGTGGGCCGTTGCGATGCTGCCCCATCCGTCACCACGACGCCGTTGCCGTCGCTGCCACCATGCTGAGCTATGGGGGCGCTACCACTGTCATCCTCGGCCGCTGCCGCGTGAGGTTGCTGTCACCGTGGCGCCGTGCTGTGCTGCTGCTGCTGCTCATCTTGCCATTGCGCGCATGTGGGCTATCCCGCCGCACCGCCAACCCACCCTGCGCCGCGACACAGTTGCTGTCGGTGTCGTCACCTCATCGTCACGTCTGCGCCTCCCTCTACACCCCTATGTCGCTGCCCGGTTCGATGCCACCATTGCAGCGCGCACGTGGTGGAGCTCGCCATCGCCTTGCCATTTATGGTACTACGGTCACGCGAGCCATGCCTAGTCGTGGACGCGCGCGCTTGTCCATAGCGCCTGCTCATGGGCCTCCACGATCACGCCGACCACATCTCGTCAAGGCGAGGCCGAGCCGAGCCCACCTACCGTGCCCCATCTCTCTCTTTCTCTCTTTCTCCCTCTGCTGCCGCCGTCGAGCCGCGCCATCAAATTACCCAGCGAGTGATCACCTCCATTCAATTCAGTGCATCCATAGTTTCAACATCACATTCCCTCGCTACCCGACCCCACCCAGCCTTGAACCGTGCAAGGCCAAGCTCCAATTTAGAGTTTCCCCGCTACCGTGCCATTAAGGCCACGCTCGGCCATGGTCGAGGGTAGCCCTCCTACCGCCTATCCTGAACCAATTCACCTACACCACTAGCATTGCCTTCACTCCCTCTTCGCCTGCGTGCTTTAGCTGAACCGCTACCACCTCCCCGTCGTCACTGACGCGACCGTGCCACCACGATGCGCTGTCGCACGGTTTGGCCGCCCGTGGCCAGCTCTTCTCCATCACCCTCTTCTCCAACCGTCACCTCGGCTAGGTCCACGGTAGTCTACTGATGCTCACTCGCTAGCCGATTAGGTCCTTAGGTGCCCCAGTTCACTAGAGCAGTCACGCCACTGTCACGAATTGTGACTAAACCGCCCAATTTATACAAGATCAAATATGGATGTCCTCGTTTAATACGTTGACGTGCGCATACTTTCACTTATATAAACCCGGTAGTCCGTCGAGTGTCACGAAGGACCTCGGTAAATCAACATCATAACCAAGATCGCATGATTAAACAAATACACATTACATACACAGAGTTACAGGGAAAAATAATATTGTAAATTGGTTCACAAATAATAGTACAAGTTTAGGTTTCAAAACCGGTTAAGGAAAACAACATAGCTTTCAAATGATTACATTAATATAAGTTCCAAATACATTGCTAGCACAAGTGACATTCTCTGACAAAACCATATAGATGAGAAATAAATATAGAGTCACCAAACCCACCGACGGTTAGCCACCATCTTCAACTGGTCGAGAACTTCACCTGCAACATGGTGGGATAAACCATGAGTACTCAAATGTACTCAGATAGACTTACCCGTCATAAACCAAAAATAAAGTGACACCAAGGGTCATGCAAGGCTTTATAAGTGGAGCTAGCTTGATAATATTTTGCATAAAAAGACACTAATTTAGCTATACCTTTTATAATTCGATCCTTAAGTTAATTATAGCTATTCATTTCTAGATTAGCAACTAACATGTGCCAAAACATGTGGTATGTCATTTAGTAGCATAACAATAGTAACCATAGGTGGTGTAATAATTCCATGTCCATCGTAGCCATCATTCCATAATTCAATTACTACGATGTTGGAGCTAGTTAAGTTTCTCACTATCCAGGAGAGACGGCGATTCGAATCAATTTCAACCAGCTAAAAATTTATTTCTAACATAAACCTAGGTCTACCAGCCATGGTAGCCTTAGGTCACATTTGGTACATCTCAAGTCCACATTTAGTAGGTTCGATTAGCGCCGCACAATCAGAGACGACCAGCTGCCAGGATGTTCAGACCTGGCCTGCCCTTAGGCTCACATCTGGCTCCCCGTTGAAAGGTCGAGATGGCGATTAGAGGGGTGAATAGTCCTTTTTAAAACTTAAATCGCGTCGGCTAACCGAAATAAGTGCGAAATTAAAACTATCGGTCTAGCCAAGACTACACGGCTCTATTTATGTTCTTTAGCACCTTTCAAATATACTAATTAAGCAATTAAGGTGCCAGGCTAGCTAGAGCTCACCTAAGCAATTCTATGAGCAAGGTCACGTAAACCTATGCCACTAATACTTTAAGCGACAAGGGAGCTCCTACACATGCTAGTAAGCAAAAGCACAAAGCCACCTAAGCTCACTAGCAATGCTCAATAACAAGGCAACCAATGCCAAATTAGAGAGCGCAAATACTTAGCTATACAAACTAAACAATGTGACTAACAAGGTTACTCAAACCAAATTAGCCATGCAAGGGAGCTACTTCTATGCTACACAAGCAAGAAGGTAATTAGTAAGCTATACAAGCTATCTAATTACAAGAGCAACTATACAAGCTTAATATGTATAAAAGTAATTGTAAGCTTGTGTAATGGGGATGCAAACTAATGGGAAGAACAAGGTTGACATGATGATTTTTCTCCCGAGGTTGACTTGTTTGCCAACACGCTAGTCCCCGTTGTGTCGACCGCTCACTTGGTGGTTCGGCGGCTAATTAGCATCACCCACTAAGCCCGCACGTCGGGCGCCGCAAGAACCTACCCCTTGAGTGAGGGTAGCTCAATGACACGCTTTACTAGAGTTGCTCTTCGCGGCTCCCGCGGGGCGAGCACAATGCCCCTCACAAGCACTTCTCCGGAGCGCCGCACAAGCTTCTTGCGGGCTTCGACGGAGACCACCACCAA